GTGTTGAGGCTCTCCCAGTAGGAAGGTATAAGCTATTGGCAGTCCTGCTCTTTACTCTACCAAGCTAATCTTTCTGGGTTTCCATATCCTTATCTGTACAATGAGGGAGTTGGACTAGATCTGTAAGGTCCCCTTCCCTTTGACATTGTGTGAGCCTTGTAGGAGCTGGTGGTGTCTGTAGATTGACTGAGTGCTGGAGCTGGCAGCCCTGTGCAAGGCTGCCACCTCTGCCCCTTTACTGTGTTCGCGTCTGACTCTATGTCTCGTCTCCAAGGAGAGGAAGTCCTCACCAGTGAACGGAGACCTCTCTGAACTGAGGATACCATGGCCACGTCAGCCCCGCTACGGAGCCTGGAAGAGGAGGTGACCTGCTCCATCTGTCTTGATTACCTGCGGGACCCTGTGACCATTGACTGTGGCCACGTCTTCTGCCGCAGCTGCACCACAGACGTCCGCCCCATCTCAGGGAGCCGCCCTGTCTGCCCACTCTGCAAGAAGCCTTTTAAGAAGGAGAACATCCGACCCGTGTGGCAGCTGGCCAGCCTGGTGGAGAACATTGAGCGGCTGAAGGTGGACAAGGGCAGGCAGCCGGGAGAGGTGACCCGGGAGCAGCAGGACGCGAAGTTGTGTGAGCGACACCGAGAGAAGCTGCACTACTACTGCGAGGATGACGGGAAGCTGCTGTGCGTGATGTGCCGGGAGTCCCGGGAGCACAGGCCCCACACGGCCGTCCTCATGGAGAAGGCCGCCCAGCCCCACAGGGTAAGCCCTTCTCACCCCCGAGGGTGACTTGCCACCTTCTCTGGACGCTCCACCCTGCCGTCCTCAGAGAACTCAGCCTGATTCTCCCCTCCTGCCCCAGCCCAGAGCATCCAACTGTTCCCATTGCTTGTTTTCCACAGGAAAAAATCCTGAACCACCTGAGTACCCTAAGGAGAGACAGAGACAAAATTCAGGGCTTCCAGGCAAAGGGAGAAGCTGATATCCTGGCGGCGCTGGTAAGTGATGCTGTTTCAGGAAACTCTGAGACGGTGCACCCGTGTAGGGCAGGGTGAGCCTGGGCAAGCAGGCGGCAGCTGGGAGGTGTCTCTAGCACTGTTTGTAGGGAGGACGGGCATCAGTCTGGCAGTGGCAGACCTGGGTTTTAGCCCAGGTGCTGTCTTTCTGAGCTATGTGGTCTTGGGCCTGTTTCTTTCTTGTCTGAGAGACAGGTGGGTCGTCTGGATGTCAGCTAGAGTCCCTTCTATTTTCTGTGACTCTCACCTTGATGACAGGACCCATGTCCAGCTGCTGGTTCTCTTCTGTCAGGGGACTGAAGGTGTGACTTCATTCTTCCTTTCAAAGAGAGAGAGAGAGACAAGGTTGCCTGAGAGTGGAGAGGGTCTAGAAGGAGGGAGCTGGCTCCAGGGTAAGAACTAGGAGGGAAGGGCTAGAGAACAGCTAAGGCAGGCCTGCCAGTTCAGATGGCACTGTATGTAGTGAGGCCCAGGCCCAGGATAATGGTTGCCAGTATAGTGGGACCCCCTCCATATCTGTGGGCTCCACACCGGTGGATTTACCCAACCATGGGTCAGAAATACTCAGAAAAAAGAAAAAGCATCTCTACTGAACATATACAGATTTTTTTTTTCTTATCATTATTCTCTAAACAATGCAATGTAACAGCTATTTATATAGCATTTACATTATATTAGGCATTGTAAGTAATCTAGAGATAATTTAAAGTATATAGTAGATTATATGTAAATATTATTCCATTTTACGTAAGAAACTTGAGCATCCTTGGATTTTGGTATCCTTGGGGAGGGGATCCTGGAACCATAACCCACTGATACCGAGGGACAACTGTAGTTGGGAAACAGGCAGCACGTTATGTGCTTGATTAGAGATGGGGTTGTGGGGGAACCGATCAAATGGTTCTGATTTTCTGGGGAACTGTGTATGTTGAGGAAGTCGGCAGTGGAGGAGTAGTGGGGTCAGGGCCAGTGGTGCGTCATTAGGCCTGGGGAGAGGGAGACAGTAAGCTAGAGATGGCTAAGTCCAGGGGACCCCTCCAGGCCCTCAGTGTGCATGGCTGCCCCCAGCCCAGCACCAGTCAACAGGGCCACTGAGGACTCCCCTCACCCCAACTGGGGAGGAGATTTGGAGGCAGGAAAGGACATGGTCCCTAAGCACAGATGTCACACAGTTTTGCTGAGGAAACAGGATACAGTCTTATGTGGCGGGGTGGGGGACACATAGGTATTTTAGACTGAACAGTGGGGTGCTGAAGAGAGGACTGGTCAGGCTTAGATGACATTAACCAAGCAAAACTTACTGGAAGAGGTGACAGAGATTTTGTCCAGGAGGGAAAAGTGTGCCAGCTCATGAGTGAGCCCCACAGAGTTTCTCCAGGGGCCCCAGATTGTACTGGCTTAGCTAGAACAGACTGTGGCTGACCAGTCAGGTAGAGACAGGGTTTTGATCATATAGCGGTGGGGTGAACTGAACTAATTCATTACTGGTGTCTTCTTTGAGAAAAGGAGTGTGGACCAGGAGCCCTCTATAGCTCCTCCCACTCCAGATCCTGTAGAATTCCTGAACGGGGGTACCGAGGTGAACGAACCAGCCTGGCACACCTCCAGTGCTGGGCCCTCCACCCTGAGCGGAGGTGTCAGCCCTTCTCCCCTTCCTGCCCGTTGCAGAAGAAGCTCCAGGACCAGAGGCAGTACATTGTGGCTGAGTTTGAGCAGGGTCATCAGTTCCTGAGGGAGCGGGAGGAACACCTGCTGGAACAGCTGGCGAAGCTGGAGCAGGAGCTCGCAGAGGGCAGGGAGAAGTTCAAGAGCCGGGGCGTCGGGGAGCTCGCCCGGCTGGCCCTGGTCATCTCCGAACTGGAGGGCAAGGCACAGCAGCCAGCTGCAGAGCTCATGCAGGTGAGAGGCCATCCCTGGACAGGGAGCCAGGGACCAGGACGGTGAGTCCCAGCCCTGCCATTCACTTGCAGGACCTTAGGAGACTTGGGGGCTCAGTTTTGTCATCTGAAACATGGGGATGATAATCCTTCCCCCTGCCAATTATTCTGTAGATTGCATGAGCATAAAATGAAATAACTGGCATGGTATCACTCCAAAAAATAAACTTTCTATACAAAACTGTTCAAAAAACTAAATGGTATAGTATAAAATGGAAGGGAAGGTTATTAATATCATTAATTATTATCATTTACCATCCTCCGTCCTCACCACTGCCATCACGAGCCCTTCTAACAAGTCACTGGCAGACACTTAGCTGGTGGAAACTTTTTCTGGTGTTGTGGTTGGGGTGGCTGAGGGAGGGCTGACCAGCAGCTCCTCTCAAAGGCCCGGAGGATCTGGAAGAGATAGGGAAACTGGGGAAGGGAAACAGAGATGGCCAGGTTTTCTCTGGGCCCATAAGATTACCACACAGAGAACAAGATGGAAAGCAGACAAGGGGACCTCGGGGCGCCTCCTAGAGGAGGGGCCTTTGATAGTGAGAAAGGGAGGCTTTGGGGCTGAAGAACTGGCTGTGAAGCTGAAATGGCACCACATCTCCTCCCCCGGGAGCCTCTGGGGATCACACTACCCTGAAGAGGGTCCAGCAGCCTTTGGAGGGATAGAGGGCTCAACCTTCCTATCCTCACAGGCTGGAAGGAGAGGGGCTCTCTGATGGTATTCCCCCACTTGCACTGTTTAGGGTGGCTGGGTCTGTCTGTCAGCAGCAGAGCCACCCAGGATTTCTAGGAAGGTGGTCCCAGGCCAATGGCAGGGCAAACCAATAGCCAGGCGGGATAGATGGCAAGGCAGACTCCCCAGTGTGTGCACCAGGACAGACTGCAGAAGGAAGCGGCCACCTGCTCCTCATTGTTGTGAATTCAGATGCACAGAATGAGGACTGGCAGGGAGGTTAGACCTTCCAGTCCAGCCCCTACTGATGAAGTCACTGAGGTCCGGAGAGTGGAAGGAGTTTGTCCCAGGCCATGTGGCAGGTGGCAGGTCACAGCTCGAGCCCAGCTCTCCTGACCCCTGGGCTCTGAGCTCTTGTTCTTATTTTGTCCAGAATGTCTCTCTGGCCCCCTCTTTTCCTCCAGATGTCATTCTGTCCCCTCAGATTTCTCTCGTCATACTCTGACTGGGTCATTTTCTGCATCTCCTTTTGCCCCTGTTCTTCCTCTCCCCACACCCCTGCTATGTGTGGATGCCTACTGTGTGTGTAACAGAGGCACACAGCTGAGGATGTGGTGGGGCTGAAATCCATTGCATCTGCCCAGAGGGGTGCCTTTTCCTAATGCACCCAGAGAAGTGGCCCTCTGAGCAGAGGCCTGGCCCTCAGTGACTCAGAGCACTCCGATTGCAGCTCTCGCTGGGGTGGGGTAAGGTTAAGGGAAGAGAGAGAAAATGGTATCTGCTTGAAACTAGTATAGGAAATGTTATTGGTACTGGTTTCTTTTTTGTTTTGTGTTTTCTCTTTTATTTTTAGTACTATGTAATGTATATATTTATGGGATATAGAGGTTTTTGTTAGTTTGTTTTTGAGACAGAGTCTCGCTCTGTCTCCCAGGCTGGAGTGCAGTGGTGTAATCTTAGCTCACTGCAACCTCCGCCTCCTGGGTTGAAGCAATTCTCCTGCCTCTGCAACCTGTGCCTCCTGGGTTCAAGCGATTCTCCTGCCTCAGCCTCCCAAGTAACTCGGATTACAGGTGTGCGTCACCACACCTGGCTAATTTTTGTATTTTTGGTAGAGTCAGGGTTTCATCATGTTGGCCAGGCTGGTCTTGAACTCCTGACCTCAGCCTCCCAAAGTGCTGGGATTACAGGCATGAGCCACCGTGCCTGGCCTAGAGTGTTATTTTGATACATGTATGTAATATATAATAATCAACTCAGAGTAATTAGTATATCTAGCACCTCAAACACTTATCATTTCTTTGTGTTGGAACATTCAAAATCCTCTCTTCTAGCTTTTTGAAAATGTGTGGTAAATTATAGTTAATGGTATTCTCCCTACAATGCTGCACAACACTAGAATTTTTTCTTCCCATGTAGCTGTAACTTTGTGTCCTTTAACCAGTTTCTCCCTACCCTCCTCTCCCCAGCCCCCTTCCCAGCCTCTAATCCTTATTTTTCTACTCTCTACTTCCATGAACTCAAATTTATTATGGATGAATAGTACTCCATTGTATATATATACTACATTTTCTTTATTTGTATGCTGATGGATGCTTAGATTGAGTCCACATCTCAGCTATTGTGAACAGTGCCACGATAAACATGAGTGTGCAGGTATCCCTTTGATATACTGATTTTCTTTTCTTTGGATAAATACCTGGTAATGAGATTGCTGGATCATATGGTAGTTCTATTTTTAGTTTTTTGAGAAACTCTCATACTGTTTTCCATAACGGCTATACTTATATGTGGAAAAACCTAAAGGCCCCAGCAAGAAACTCTTAGAACTGATTAAACAAATTCAGTAAAGTTGCAGGATACAAAATCAACATAAAAAGTCCACTGCATTTTTAATACACCAATAACAAACTAGCTAAAAAAGACATCAATAAAGCAACCCCATTTACAATAGCTACAAAAGTAAAATAAAATACCTGGGAGTGAAATTAACCAAGGAGGTGAGAGACCGCTATAATGAAAACTGCAAAACACTGATGAAAGAAATTGAAGAGGACACAAACAAATGGAAAAATATTCCATGCTTGTGGATTAGAATTAATATTGTTAAAATGACTATCCTATCCAAAGCAATCTACAGATTTAATACAATCCCTGTTATCAAAATACCAATGACATTCTTCACAAAAATAGAAAAAAAACTAAAATTCATATGGAGTCACAAAAGACCCCAAATGGCCAAAGCAGTCCTAAGCAAAAAGAACAAAACTGGAGGCTTCACACTATCTTACTTCAAAATATACTACAGCCAGTGGTGGCTCACACCTGTAATCCCAGCACTTTGTGAGGCCGAGGCAGGCGGATCACGAGGTCAGGAGTTTGAGACCAGCCTGACCAACATGGTGAAACCCCCATCCCTACTAAAAATACAAAAATTAGCCAGGCGTGGTGGTGCGCACCTGTAATCCCAGCTACTCGGGAGGCTGAGGCAGGAGAATTGCTTGAATCTGGGAGGCAGAGGTTGCAGTGAGCCGAGATTGTGCCACTGCACTCCAGCCTGGGCAATAGAGACTCCATTTAAAAATACATATATATACACACATATATATGTGTGTGTGTGTGTAGTGTGTACCACACTACAAAGCTGTAGTAACCAAAACAGCATGTATTGATATAAAAGCAGACACATAGACCAATGGAACAGAATAGAGAACTCAGAAATAAATTCACATATTTATAGCCAACTGATTTTCAACAAAAGCACCAAGAACATACAGTGGGGGAAGGGACAGTCTCTAATAAATGGTGCTGGGAAAACTGGGTAACCAACCATATGCAGAAAAATGGTATTGGTAGATTTTGTCTGTGTGCTTGAGTTGATTGTAACGCATGGGAACTGGACAGCTAACTCCCTAATTAGCATTAATATTTTCCCAGAGATTATTTGGCTGTCAAAGTGTAGTAAGAAAAAGACCTAAAATAGGGTCCAGAAGTCTGATAGAGAAATACAGGTGAGGCTGGTGTGGTGGCTCACACCTAGAATTCCAGCACTTTGGGAGGCTGAGGCAGACAGATTGCTTGAACCCAGGAGTTTGAGACCAGCCTGGGCAACATAGTGAGATCCTGTCTCAAAAAAATTTAAAAAGAAAAAAATAGAAATACAGGTGAGAGGGAGAAGCAGCAGGACAAAATGTGTAAAATAGAAGAGACCTTTTGATAGAAGTGATAGAAAAGGAAAGACAAACCTATGGGCTGGGAGCATCAAGAAGACATTAAAGGGATTGGGGTGATAGGAGAGGCCCAGAGAGACACTGCATCCCACCCTGGTTAACCCGGGCGGGCCCTGCAGGATCAGGTGGTATGCTTGCACCCTGCTTCTCCTGCTGTACACCCCCATGAAGAACTTTCTTGATACTCTCTGTTAGTAACCGGGCACATCCCCTCCGGGAGCTTGCCATGACTCATTGCTGTGGCCCCACTGCTCGACTCTGCCTGTTTCATGACAGCCTCAGATGTCTTGGGTGAGAAGAGTCCTCCAGGAGACGTGGGCTGATCACTTCCCTCCAGAGGCCCCATATGTAGCTGTGGATGGGGGCCTCTCAGTCTTTCAGCCTCTCCTCGACAGGGCCAGCCCTGCCCTGGCTCTTGGGACCCCACCCTCTCTGGACTGCTCACAACCTTTAACCTTCAGAGGACTCGTCTTTCTCCTGTGTGATTCTCTCCCTTTCTACTGCTGTAGGAACTTTCATGTCAGGAAATATGCCCAGTTGGGCCCCTGGCCCCCACTCTACCTACTGCTCCATTCATTTACTCTTTTATGCCACCTTTGTCAGCAGAGCTGTCAGGACACGCTGTCTGTTTTGTTGCCTGTCCTCTGAAGCTGCCTTGGACTTACATGTGTTGAGGGGCGTGTTAGAGGACTTGGCCAGAAATTTGCTACCAGTCTCTGGGCATTTAGTTGCTTCATAGTGCGGGGTTGGGATGTGCCTCTGACTTCTTGTCTTGCTCCTCTGGAGTAAAACACAACTCTTCCCAAACTTTCTGAAGCAGTCATCAGCAGCCACAATTTGTTAATTCCATTTGTTTCCTGAATCTCACCCTCTCCAGGAAGCCAGCCTGCACCCCACCGGCCCCTGCTCCCATCCCCCTTCACTCTGCTCTCTTTTCCCGTGGTGCGTATCACTCACGTAGTGTGATATATTTGCTACATTGATTATTGTCTGCTTCCCCCTGCTAGAATGTCAGCTCTACAGAAGTGGGGATTTGTCTCTCTCTCTCTCTCTCTCTTTTTTTTTTTTAACTGTTCTGAGGCTTCTAGATCAGTGCCTGGTACCTAGGAAGCACTTAATAAATATTTGTGGAATGAGTGAAAGCAAGGCAAAAATCAATACAGAGTATTATGGAGGCTTTTGACTCACAAAAAGGAATCTGAGTATCTCAGAATAACCCTCTTCCCACTCACCCTGTCCTACCACCTGTCTGTCACAGAGATGGCACCACCGTTCTCCCTCCTGTACAAACCATGCTCTGTTGTTGATTATCCTTTACCAGTATGTCCAGTTGAATCTGTCTAAAATACCTGGAATATATTGCTTCTCTCTTTTTCTCCCTACTGCCACCACTTTAGTTCAGGCCATCTTTAGCTCTCCCCTGGTCCACAGCAAAAACCTCCAGACCAACCTGCCCATGTTCCTGTTGCCTTCTTAGTCCCTTCTCTGTGGGACAGCCAAGTGAGTGGTCACTTAGGGTTTTGGCTCGCTGCTGTACAGTGACGCAAACAGAATAGAAGTTTATTTCTGTCTCAGTAACAGGTCAGAGGTGCAGGGTCTAGAGCTATCACGGTAGCTGTACATAAGCTCATCCAGGGGACTGGGTTACTTCCATGTGGTTCTTCTACCAGCTTCTAGGGATGTTGTCCTCTGCTGTGTGGTCAAAGTTGGGCTCACCACCACCATGTCCAAAATTCAGTTGGGGGAAAGAGGAAGTAGAAAGCAATTTTCTTTTTTTAAAGGACAGTGCCCGGAATTATGGTCATTGCTTTCTATCACATGCCATTGGCTGAAACTTAGTCTCGTGACCAGACCTTGTCATGGGGGATCTGGAAAATGTAGTCTTCCCAGGTGACCATCTGACCAGCAATAACTCTAGGGGTTCTATTATTAAAAGGAGGAAGGGGAGAGTGGACTCTGGAGGTTACACAGCAGTCTCAGCCACATGTAGAGCGGATCACACATAACATGCCCCTACTTGATACCCTTGGTGGCTTTCCACTGTACGTGGAGAAAAATTCAAACTCCTTACCATGCATATCCAGCCCTGCGCGATCTGGCCTCTGCTGCTTTCACCAAGCCCTTTCCTGTTTTACCTTATCTCTCTTCATCTGGCCAGTACTTCTCATCCCTGAGTTCTCTGCGCAGGTATCTCCCAGAGAGGTTGCCCCTGTCATCCCCCAGCCATGGTGGCTTCTGTCATTGTGCTGATTTTGTTTGTTTTCTTGTTGTTTTATCCAGTGACCCCACTAGAATGTCATCTCCATAAAAAGCGACCACATTTGTTTTGTTCACTGATATGTCCCACCTCTGCTACAGTGTTGGGTGCAGATGCATTGAAGTCTTGTTTGATTCATATTGATACTTGTGCTTTTTTTTTTCCCCTTCCAGGACACGAGAGACTTCCTAAACAGGTAAGAGTCTTCTCTCCACAGCGTACCTCATCCCCCTTGTTTATGTTCCCTCCCCTTCTGACCAGGTCCATTTGAATCATGGGGAATGGTGTGGTGCCAGAGGTACTCACATCCCATGGTTCATCCTGATGCCCTTCTGAGGAGCAGGACACATCCTTGAGAACTGGAGACTTGCTCTCCTCCTTGTGAGTTCTCTGTGTAACCCCAGCTCCTTGGCCCACTGGCCTTATTTGAGGTGGGACAGAGCAGAGAGGTTAGAAACATGGCTTAGGAGACAGAGCGCCCTGGATGTGGAGTCTACTGATGGTCTGAAGCCCTGGCTCAGCTGGTGTCTTTGGGCCATTGTTTTTCTGTCACTTGTCTGGGGACAATCATACCTTTCCTCTCCCCTTCATAATTGCCATGAGGATTGAGAGATAAGTATGAAGGAAAGTAAGAAGAGCTGAGTAACAGGTTGTTACGTCTGTCATCTTCTCAGGTATCCACGGAAGAAGTTCTGGGTTGGGAAACCCATCGCTCGAGTGGTTAAAAAAAAGACCGGAGAATTCTCAGATAAACTCCTCTCCCTGCAGCGAGGCCTGAGGGAATTCCAGGGTAAGGGTTGGGGAGCGCACAAAGGGTGGGAGTCAGAGCAGGGCTACCTCGTAGAAAGAGGGCAGCCGGCTCCTTTCCATCACCTTGTCGAGTCTCACTCTTCTGAGGGCCTCCTGCCTTAGAAATGGATCCCTATCAGGAAATTGATACCGCCCAAGCAAGAAATGGGCTCGTGCATTTGCGGGACTTGAGTCATTGCTGTCCTTTTTTCTCCCCAGGGAAGCTGCTGAGAGACTTGGAATATAAGACAGGTGAGTGTCGAGAGGGTGGTTCCCAGATGTACATCAAATATAGAAAACTCTGCCTGCAGAGATTCTGACTGCCCACTTTTTCCCCAGGTAGCCCCTTTTGCAACAGGAAGAATTTCCCAGCTGCACAGTAGAAGCCCCCCTCCCTCCTTGCACTTTCTAATCGGCCTACTCTTTAGTCTACTGAGGCCTCTGCTTGCTAGTCTGACCCTTCTCTACCCTGTGTTTGCTTTTCCTTTTCCTATTCTCACAGGTCCTACCACCAGTCCTTTTCCTGTGGTTGAGCTTTCTCTCATCTTCCTATCTGCATGGCTCCTATGTTCAGAGCAAACAGCAGGGGCAACCTAAGGCCAGAGGCCATATCCACCAGAGGCCCCACTACTGTGCTTCCTCTCAGCCCTGCAGTTAGGTTGTACACTGCATACCAACCACCAAAGAGCACCATCCACATAGACCAAGATGGGAGTGGTGCCCCTTGGATTGTGAGGACTGGTGGTCTCCTCCTGGCCCACTTTCACACTTGCTTTCCTGAGAACCACTGAGGAGGTCGAACTGTCTGGGAGCAAACGAGGCCCTGAGAGCTCCATCTAGTTCACAGGATAAAATCCCACAGCAGAACTGAGTTAGCAGTGGTTAAACCTTAGGTGGTTGTAGCTTCTTTATTAATGTCTGAGCTGTCTGTGAATACCATCAAATTCTACCCATCAGGTGATTCTAATTATAGAATTATAGAGAATCCTATGAGGATGACGGTGAGGATTATCCCACTCTCAGTACATGTTCAGGGTTTCTTGAACCATCTTACAGAGCAGCCTGGTGGTTTTGAAACTGAAACTGAACAGTTTGCAGAGACCCTGAATGCCTGTATTACAATAGATGATGCTTTGCAAGAACTTGTGGAACTCAGAGGACACATCTGTCCCAAATTTCTTTTTTTTCTTTTTTCTTTTGAGATGGAATCTTGCTCTGTCACCCAGGCTAGAGTGCAGTGATGCGATCTCGACTCGCTGCACGCTCTGCCTCCCAGGTTCACACCATTCTCCTGCGTCAGCCTCCCAAGTAGCTGGGACTACAGGCGCCCGCCACCATGCTTGGCTAATTTTTGTATTTTTAGTAGAGATTGGGTTTCGCCGTGTTAGCCAGGATGGTCTCGATCTCCTGACCTTGTGATCCACCCGCCTCGGCCTCCCAAAGTGCTGGGATTACAAGCGTGAGCCACTGTGCCTGGCCCCAAATTTCTCTTACATGGGAGCTTGCCTGTGTAATTACCTGGCCCATCATCTGACAGCACATAGAGTAGCACCTTCCGCAAATTTCTACTTCAAAGATGTTGGACTGAATATGACATTAAAGATCAAGCTGCAAAAGGGGATGAAGTTACTCCAAAACAATTTCATGCATTTGTACCCTTTCTGGGAGGGCTTTATCGTAACCTGGAGATCAGAGGAACAAATGGACAGGTTACAAGGGCAGATATTCTTCAGGTTGGTCTTTGGGAGTTGCTGAATGCCTGAATGCCCTCTTTTCTAATCCCATGGATGACAGCTTAATTTGTGCAATAAAATTGCTGAAGTTGACAGGGTCAGTTTTGGAAGATGCTTGGAAGGAAAAAGGAGGGACTGATATGGAAGAAATTATTTAGGAAATTGAAAATGTTGTTATAGATGCAAACTGTGGCAGAGACATGAAGCAGATGCTCTTGAAGCTTGTAGAGCTCCAGTGCAGTAACTGGGGTAGAGTCCATGCAACTTCATCATGCAGAAATACAACACCCGAAAAAGATCCCAACTGCTATGTGAATGAACCAGCATTTTATACATCTCATAGTGTTCGTTTCACTGCAGCCAATCCAGATTCCCAAGAGGCATATCAGGAGTTACTTGAAAAAGAGGACTTTTTTTCTAGATTATGAAGAAAGTGGAACAGATTTATCAGGGGCTGGTGATCCACACTTGGATGATATTGATGATGAGTTGGACCCAGAGATCCAGAGATAGAGGAAGCTCATGAAGTTTTGTTTGGAATCAGAGCGTAAGCGAAAACAGTAAAGTTAAATTTCAGTATATCATGTTTATAAAGCAGTTTAGTTATGGTGATTTAGCAGAATACAAAGCCAGAAAATGTGTCACACTTATACCAAATTAAGGATGTTACGTTACTAATATATGCAACTTTAATTTTGTTTAACACTGTCTGCCAAAATAAATTTTATTCCCTCTAACTTAAAAAAACAAAACAGTGATGTTGTTTTTTTTTCCCCTTGTCCCCACAGTGAGTGTCACCCTGGACCCACAGTCGGCCAGTGGGTACCTGCAGCTGTCAGAGGACTGGAAGTGCGTGACCTACACCAGCTTGTACAAGAGTGCCTACCTGCACCCCCAGCAGTTTGACTGTGAGCCTGGGGTGCTGGGCAGCAAGGGCTTCACCTGGGGCAAGGTCTACTGGGAAGTGGAAGTGGAGAGGGAGGGCTGGTCTGAGGATGAAGAAGATGGGGATGAGGAGGAAGAAGGAGAAGAGGAGGAAGAGGAAGAGGAGGCCGGCTATGGGGATGGATACGATGACTGGGAAACAGACGAAGATGAGGAATCGTTGGGCGATGAAGAGGAAGAAGAGGAGGAGGAAGAGGAGGAAGTTCTGGAAAGCTGCATGGTGGGGGTGGCCAGAGACTCTATGAAGAGGAAGGGAGACCTCTCCCTGCGGCCAGAGGATGGCGTGTGGGCACTGCGCCTCTCCTCTTCCGGCATCTGGGCCAACACCAGCCCCGAGGCCGAGCTTTTCCCAGCACTGCGGCCCCGGAGAGTGGGCATCGCCCTGGATTATGAAGGGGGCACTGTGACTTTCACCAACGCAGAGTCACAGGAACTCATCTACACCTTCACTGCCACCTTCACCCGGCGCCTGGTCCCCTTCCTGTGGCTCAAGTGGCCAGGAACGCGCCTCCTGCTGAGACCCTGAACCCTGACATCTGCCCCTGGCCCCACACCGTCAGATGCTTCACTTCTTTGGAATTCCAGGACTCTCAATGGGGGGAAGGGATGCCTGGCCTGAGCACCTGGAGCAGGGGACCCCATATCCACTGGCAGCCACCTCCCCGTCGCTCTGGCCCCCTGAGGTCTCACTCAGTGCTGTTGCTCCATCTACTGCCCTAACGGGGCTCTTCTCCCACCTCCTGCTAGTTTCCCGAGGGAACTTCTGGCCCTGGAGTCCATGAGGGCTCCTTTCCTTTTTGACCACTACCTTGGCCCCGGCTCTGCACTCTCTGTGGAGTAAGGGCCTGACACAGCATTTTCTTGCCCACCGTGGCAAGACCTTGGAAAAACCAGTTGATTATGCCTAAGATCATTTTGCTGTCCTTAAACCCTACAGGTTCCTTCTTGCACAAATCCACTCTGCTGCCCGCCTTCCCTGGCATTTTAAACAGACCTGCCCCACCCCAACTCAGAGTTAAGCATACACGGCAATGTTGAAAATAAACAATGAAAATCCACTGAGGCTTTCTAAGCCATTTAAGGCCTGGAGTACCAGCGCATATCATCTCATGGGGTCCAGAGTGGAGTCCAGGCTTCTCTGAAACCAGGGCTGAGCATATTTCCATAGCCAAGGATGTGGGACTCCCCGGAGCTATCTGTGGTCTTAGAGAAGGATCCAGACATACACAGCTTTGGGGTACCAGCTGTGATCACTGATCAATAAATTATCTCTGGATTGGTCCTTGTGGGGGGAGTTTTAAGAATCCAGAACATCTTGCTCTTGATTAGCACATCCAAAAACACCAAGGCAAATATCCAGTGGAACAGAACCTCCCCTGCCTGGGGAGTTCTGACCACGTTCCCCAGCAGGGTGTTAATCCACTGTCCCTGGCCCTACTCAGCCTCCAGGTTCCACTTTCCTAGGAGAGAGTGGAGATGGGAAGACAGGGAAAGGAAGGCAGCAGGAGGCCACAAGTCCACCAGGTCTTCATGTCAAGAGAGGGAGTAACGTGTCTCCTCATTGCCCACGGACCCAGCCTCTGTCCAGGCGCCCCTCATGGCCACAGTTTAACACAAGCTCCCCTGCTCCAGCCAAACTGATCTCCCAGTCTTGACCTTACCCATTCCAAATGCTCTGCCAGTCCCTGTTCATCCAAGTTTTAAGTCCTCCACCCTGTTGTAAGAGACTGTTCCGGGTCTCAGTGGTCTCTTGACCACCATTGTCTCAGAGCTGCCCACTTTGTGTGTGCCACATGCTGCCTGAGTCACATGTACATCTTATTTCTGCCTCTAGTTTTGTAAGCTCCTGGAGGGCGGATAACATCTTATACTACTCTTGTATTCTGATGGCACCTAGTGCAGTGCTGGGCACAGAGTAGGTGCTCAATAAAGACTTGTTGAATGAACGGTCTGGAAATGTATATCTGTAGGATCTATATTGTATCTCAAATGCCACCAGACCTGAGTCTGGCTACAGAGAAATTCCATTGATAGCAGTAGCCGAAGGTTTTCCTCTTGTACCTCCTGTAACTGTGTAACTTTGCTTTCTGTTCTCTGTTTGCACACGTGCTGTCATTTCTGGAAGTCCCTCAAAAAGAGCCTACTGCGGGACACAGACCATTTGTTGTGTGTCTCCACCTTGTTATTCCTCCTGCGGTGGTGCCCTTGAGCTGAGGTCCAGCATTTTGGAGCAAGTGATGACTCTCCCTGAGAAGGGAGACATCCAGTATAGCACCCCCAAAATTCTTCCTTGGAAAATAAGCACTGCCCCAGAGGAAATAGAATGTGCAGCCTTGCCTCCTAACACAGTCAACTGTTTTTCTTGTCCTTTCTGATTTTTTTTTTTTTTTTTGAGACGGAGTCTCGCTCACCCAGGCTGGAGTACAGTGGCGTGATCTCGGCTCACTGCAAGCTCAGCCTCCTGGGTTCATGGAATTCTGCCTCAGCCTCCCGAGTAGCTGAAACTACAGGCGCCTGCCATCATGCCCGGCTAATTTTTTTTGTATTTTTAAGTTTCACCCTGTTAGCCAGGATGGTCTCGATCTCCTGACCTCGTGATCCCCCCACCTCAGCCTCCCAAAGTGCTGGAATTACAGGCGTGAGCCACCGCGCCCGACAGTCCTTTCTGATTTTTTAAATTGCCATCTTAAAGATGGAAAAGGGAGGATTATACAAAACTACCTGTAAAATTACGCTAGTGGCAAAGAGCATATTTCTTCTCTGTTCTCTCATTTGTGGACTCGTAAGTTTTCCCTTTTTATTTTTTATATTCATAGTTTTTAGTTTTTTATAACTATACTTGCATATATGGTAAACTATTTCTACAGTGCTTCTTACAAATAGGCACATTTCCCTGCCCCATTCCTCCCTCCAAAGACCCAGTTCATACCTTTTAGCAAACTGTTTTGTGTTTGCCTTGATTTTTTCTAAATAACTCGTGTTTGGGGCCTTATCCTCGCATTTCCCACTGTGGAGCAGGAAGATGTAGCCCTCTGCTCTTTCTATCATTTATCACACACACAGACATTCTCTTCCATCCATCACCATCCCTTCAATGTGGTTAAACAAGTATTCTGTGTGCTTGTTATTACATCTGTGTAAAAGCTATTCACACCTGGGCTGTGCATGTGGCCACGATCATTTTTCCTTCCTGCAGAATCTTTTTGTCTTCCTGGAGTTCCTTTTCCCTTTTTGCATCATTTCCTATGTCTTTATTACTTATTGTACTCCAAACTCCTTCACGGTTGTCAAAATCTCCAGGTCCTCATTCACCAGGTGCTCTTACCAGTTTTGTTTTGATGCATCTCTTAAGCCTCCTGGCCTTGAATCTGGAATAGCTGCTTCCTCACCTGTACCTGGCTTCCTGGATATTCCTTCACCATCATACTGGGGGTCCTAGATTGCTTCTATTTCTTTATCCTATGTTTTCTCTCTTAATTTACTTCATTTTGGAGGAACATTTTCTAGGAGCTTTCTGAGAAATGGTGCATGGAAGTTGAATTTTTAAAATCTTGAATATCTGGAAATATCTTTATCCCACTTTTATACTTAATTAGGTTTCTTAAGTTTAGGATTCATGGTTGAAAATAATTTTCCTTCAGAATTTCAAAAGCATTGCTCCACTGCCCTCTGGCATCCTTTGTTGTTGAGAATTCTTGTGACACCCTGAGTTCTGATCCTTTGTATATGGTCTGTTCTTTTGTTTTTGTTTTTTACCGGAATCTTCGGGTCTTGTCTGTGTTCTTACTCTTCTCCGCCTCCTCCCTTTCCTCCCTTCTCCTCTGTGGTCCCCCTCCTTTCGTCTTTTAGAGACAGGGTTTCACTCTGTCATCCAGGCTTGAGGGCAGTGGTGCAGTCATAGCTCACTGTGGCCTCAAAGTCCTGGGCTCCAGTATTCCTCCCGCTTGAACCTCCCGAGTAGCTACAGGAGCATGCCACCACACCCGGCTCATTTGTTTATTTTTTGTAGAGACAGGTCTTCCTATATTGTCCAGGCTGGTCTCAAGTGATATCAGCCTCCCAGTGCATTGGGATTGGACGCATGTGACTCCATGCCCTTACTCTTAGATTTCTTGATGTTACTTTGTATGAGCTTTTCCCTCCACCGTGCTGGTTAAATCAGTGGGCTCTTTCATTCTGGAAACGTATAGCTTTTCAGTTTCATTCTAGAAACGTTTAGCTTTTCAGAATAAAATTTCTGGGAAATTTTATTGAATTATCATTGTTATTTTTAGAGATGTAGTCTTGCTCTTTTGTCCAGGCTGGAGTGCAGTGTTGGGGTCAGAGCTCACTGCTGCCTAGAAACTCCTGGGCTCAAGTGATCCTCCTGCCTCAGCCTCCTGACTAGCTGGGATTACAGGTGTGAGCCACCACAACTGGCTGAATTTTTATTATTTTAGAGATACGGTCTTGCTCTGTCACCTAGGCTCTAGTTGTGGTGCACTCGTAGCTTACTGTGGCCTTGAACTCCCGGGCTCAAATGATCCTCCCACCTCGGCCTCCCAAAGTGCTGGAATTACAGGCGTGAGCCACTGCACCCAGCCTGAATTATTTCTTGTTGACTTTTCCCCCTGTTTTCTCCGTTCTTTCAAATCTGTTATCTCCAGGCTTCGTATGTCTCCTGAATTCATTTATTAAGTGCCCGTGATGTGCCAGGATGTTTCTAGGTTACAACAGTGCTAAGTTTAACAACGTTTCTGCACTCATGGAGTTTATATTCCAGCAGATGGTGACAGGCAATACGTTAAAATTGAAAGAAAAAAAAAAAGTAATTAGTACTGTGCAGGAAACTGAAAGAAGTCTGTGATAGATGGTGACCTATTTTCTATTTTATAATGTGTGATCAGAGAGGAGTTCCCTGAGAAGACGGCATGAGAGCTGAAATCTGAATAGTGAGAGGGAAGGTCTAAGATCACATCAGCTAGAGGGAACAGCAAAGTCCTACAGCAGGGACAAACGGTACAAAAAGACTGCATTTAGAGTATGGGTATGGGAGAACAGAAAGAGCCATAGGTTTTTTTTTTTTTTTTTTTTTTAAGTAGAGACGGAGTCTTGCTCTGTTGCCCAGGCTGGAGTGCAGTGGCGCAATCTTGGCTTACTGGTAACCTCCACCACCTGGGTTCAAGTGATTCTCTTGCCTCAGCATCCCGAGTAGCTGGGACTACAGGCGCACGCCACCACATCTGGCTAATTTTTTTGTATTTTTAGAAGAGACGGGGTTTTGCTATGTTGACCAGGCTGTTCTCGAACTCCTGACCTCAGGTGATCCACCCGCCTTGGCCTCCCAAAGTGCTGGGATTACAGGCATGAGCCACTGCGTCTGGCCAGCCATAGATATTAAAGTGGAGAAGTAAGCAGGGATGAATCATGTGGGGGCCTTGTGGACCATGCTAAAGAGTTTGGATTTTTTTTTTTCTAAGTGCAATGGGAAGCTACTGAAATGTTATAAACAGAGGAGTAATGATTCAATTTAGTAAGCAAATATTGAACACATGCGCTAGGCACTGTTCTGGGTACTTGGCATGCATCAGTTTTTAAAAAGTTCCTTCAAGGAGTTTACATTCTAGAAGGGAGAGATAGACAAAAATAAGTACAGAAGTGTTAGAAATAACGATAACAATAAATAACAATAAAATAAGTAATAAATGTTAGAAAATAAGTGCAACAGACAAAGAAAAAATATAATTACTTAAAAAAATCTATTTGGAGGAAGTAGTGAAGATGGCTGAATAGATGACACTAGTATGTGCCTCCTCCATGGAGAGGAACCAAAATAACAAGTAGATATTCGCACAGCATCAATCATCTAAGAGAACACTAGGATTCAATAGAGAAGTTACAGGAAACACTGAAAGCAAGGAGAGCAAGGCAAGGCAGTTTGCTCAGCCAGGATTGCCGGGGAGCTGGGAGAAGCTCCTGGATGTGGAGAAAGGGTAACAGAGAAACCTCCAGGATCCCATACTCCCACCACAGGCTTTTACAGTCTTAGCAATGAGAGAATTTCTCAATCCTTGTGGGCTTCGAGCCTAACACAGGGAGCTGCCTAGAAATCAACAGAAGCATTGCTCCAGAGAAGGAAGTCACGCAGAGTCCCACAGGCATCTGAGCCCACAGCAGCTTCAGTTTGGTGCCATTCTGAGAACCTCGCTGCCTGGGGTCTATGTCTTGCCCTGAGGCCAGACTGATGTGGCACTGCTGTTTCTGCTGCTACTGCTGCCACCATGCAAAAAAGAGAGGGGAGACTGAGTACTCCCATGCATCCCCTGGAAAAATCCCATCGCCACTGCTACAGGCTGCAGTGAGACCAGGGCATGAGAAGACAGCACTCCCTGTGGCTACTTGTCCATGCTGTTCCACCTGAGAGGGGTCCTGCCCTGCTGGTGGCAAACCCATAGTCATTATTCTGAGAGCTCAACCACCTGGGTCTGCATTCTGCCCTTGGGCCTGGCTGGGGCTGCTGTCGCCAAGCCAAGTCTAAGTCGAGGAGGGAGAGTAGAGACCGGGACTTCCACACATTCCCAGGACAAATCCCACCACTGCCGCTATGGGCTGCTGTGGACAAAGGTGTGAGCAGACTACACTCCCCACAGCTACTTGCTCATGATGCTTCCGCTGAGATTGGCCTTCCCTGGTTGCAGGACTACAGTGCAACCACTACAGCCAGCCCACACCTGAGCATTCTGCCAGTGGTCTGGGGACCTCCCCATCTCTGCCTATCACAGCTAGCACCTGAATGCACTGCAGGGGGGCCTGAGGACAGGTCTGCTGACCTGATCCCATCCCTCCAGTACACAAGCACATCAGCCAGGGGCCTGGAAATTGCCCAGCCCAATCTACTACCACTGGCATCTGAATCATTCCTGCCAGGGTCTGAGGTCAGCCCAACTCAACCTACCAATACCACCACA